GCTTTGAAAATATACTTAATTTTGACGATTCATTTGAACAAACTGATTCAAAAGGCCCATTCATTGAAGAATTAGACATCATTCGTTCTAATTCCAACCAACCAATCAACCAACGTCTTTACTGCTAAAATAATGATCACAATAAATGTAAGGTTTTAAAATTTCACAACGCTATACCCTCTACTAGTAACATAAAAGTGTAGTTTTTTTTTAATCTCCACATCTGCCAACTAACTGAAAATAAACAGCCTGAATGGCCCAATTAACTAATTATAAATCTTTGTGTATTTATTTTATTTTGAGAAAAGCTTGAATGAATGAGAAAAAATGCAGGATCTCTCTAAATGCATATTATCTATAGTGGGCCTTTGTAAATTTGTCCTGCATCCACAAATGAGCTCAGTGAGCAGGCACCTGTTGCTACTTGTCTTTTATCTTTTGATGTCTCCATTTTTCAGCAATATTTCTGAAGAGCAAGAAAAACTTTGAATCTCTGATTGATTGCACGAAATGGTAGGGGTAGGGTAAATGTGAGGGAGACTTTGCTTCATTTTCCATTTTACGTAAAGATGGAAAAGGGGGAGGGGGATCTGCCAAGAGTATTCATTTGATCTGAATGGAACTACAATAAACCAAATTCCTGGACAGCCATCCCAGTTCATCATGGAGAGGCATTCCCTAGCCAGCCTTTTGTCTTTGGCTCTGACAGGCCACAACTGCTATTCTAACCCTCAAGAGCATGTTATATTAAATCAATATATAATATTACCAAGGTCAACATGTAACCCTTAGTGACACGAACCCATCCATCTCCCTATGACAAAATTCTTTCTATTTTTCTAGAGACTTCTCATGTCCCACTAGAAGACAATGAAGGCTGAGATGATAATATTATTGTAGATGGAAACTGGTGGATATGGTTTCAAAGGGCAATAATAGTATATGTAGTTAAGAGACAGGAGTGCTCATGGTTTTCTCTGCAACGATGTAGAACATAAACACATGAACACTTAGCGGATATTGAGCCAAGCCTTGGTGATATGAAATAATAAAGGTTAGAGTGAAGTAACTCACGAGTCTCAATGCAGACAGCATACAGAAGACAAAGGAAGTGAATAAGGATGTTTGTAGTACAAGCTTGCCATCTACTGGTAAAAAAGAAAAGATACAACCAAATCAAATGCATCAGAATAAGCTTTATTGTATGAAACAGGTATATTGTGCCTCAATACATATTCCTTGGGAGCATTTTAAAGAAGCATATCAGAAATACAACTCTGTACAGTACATATTAAACTATACTGAATATGAAATAGCTGTGTGACGTGACAAGTTTATTAATGTTTACTGTACAATTATGTTGAATAGGATTTGGGACCAATGAGATCTGAACTGAGACCTATGCAGCTTTATTGCATTATAGCGTTGCATTATGACAACACCGATTCTTCTCTGATTGATGTAATGTCAGAACAGAATATAAACACTTCTGTTTAAAGACAGTTACTTCATCTCACATCTCGATCACGGTACGAATACTGAAAAAGAGAAAGAAAGAAAGAGGTTAAGTGCATGTATGTATGTATATGTATAAGTGTATGTATAGATATAGAAATAATTAGACACCATAACAAAGAATTTCTTCTCTTGACTAATGTGTGTGGTATATGACCATTCCAGAATACTGAAATATGTCAGGCATACAGTTGTAGCAATGCTTAGCACAATACAAGATCATTAGTAGATTCACAGAACTTACCTCTTCCCAGTGATCATAAGATCGAAGGCCTGGTTAACCTGATCTAGAGTCAGTCTGTGTGTCACAAATTCATCCAGCAGAAGCTTCCCACTCATATAATCCTGTACCAACTTGGGCACTGCCTCAGCACTCTTCCAACCTGTCAATCAGACAGGAAGAACTGAGTAGTTACTTTAAATTGCAGGTGTTTTCCACTAATACACAGTGAAATTAGAGAGGACTGTAAAATGATTAGACCTAATTCTCCATATCACATCAACCTGGTGCTGCAACATATAGGCTACAATAGATCATCATAAGATATATTTTAATTTACCAGGCATGCTTTACCGCCAAAATAGGAGCCTTTTAGAGTTTTTTTTTTTTTAGAGTAGAGCCAGATTCTACCTGGGGAAGACAATGACAAAAAAATATAACACGTGCTACAAGCTGGTGGGATGTTATTTTTATCTTATGGAAGTGGAAATCACACACACTTTGCCTGTGTTCACTGCTGCTCCATATCCTGTAGACACTCCACAGCCCAGCAGACAGACTTTGTCCAGTGGAGCATCTGGGTGAATCTTGGTGACATTGTCCTCTGGCACAACAGTGTATTCAGAGAATGTGCTGACACCAATAAACTGGTAAATCTGCTGATTCTTGCAGGTGATCCTGCTGGTGCCATCTGCAAGAAGACATTGCTGATTTGTCTCCCTAGGAAATAAAGAGGGTCTAAATCAGTGTTTCTCAACCCTGGTCCTGGGCGCCCCCCAGCACTGCACATTTTGCGTGTCTCCCTAATCAAACACACCTGATTCAACTCATTAGCTCATTAAAAGAAACTCCAGGACCTGAAATGGGTGTCAGATAAGGGAGACATACAAAATGTGTTGGGGGGCGCTCAGGACCAGGGTTGAGAAACACTGGTCTAAATGGAATTACATTATCACCTACCTCATGAATATAATCTATGAGTTCAGAAGAACAAAAAACATCACACAAACATCGCTCAGTAACATTAACTCACCAGTTTTTTGTACAGAGGTTTGTCTTTGGACTCAGACAGCGTTCGCATTGTCCACACTGTGGCACGATTAGAGGAATAACTTTATCTCCTGTAGATAAATGGTTGAATGGTAGTGAAGTGTTTTGAGTTAGAGCAAAATTTAAAGGAAAAAAATATTTACACTAAATGCTTTATGTATTATTTATTTAATTAATTACCACAGATTTTTTATTTTTTTTTGCATTTGCATTTGCTTGTCATACTGTACATGTTTTTATTACATTTTTGTACTTATGCAAAGGTAAATTGAGGTACAAAATGAGGTACCTTTGGACATCTTTGTGACACCTGGACCAACACTTTCCACCACTCCTGCCCCCTCATGTCCCAAGATCACAGGAAAGGGCTGGGGATTCATTGTTTTACCAACCTCATGGAGGAAAGTCCAGTCTGTGTGGCATACTCCAGATGCTATTATCTGACATTGGTCAACTGATAGTCATTAGTCTGATATATAAATACTGCTTAGTCATTCAAGCAACATCACATTGCAAGTCTACATATAAGTGTTATATGTAAACAGATTATATGCAGACATGGCCAGTGAAGTGTAATGGACCTACTGTACCTTAATTCGTACTTCATGTGCTTTGGGAGGGGCAACTTCCACCTCCTCAATGGAGAACGGTTTTCCTGGTTCCCAGGTCACTGCTGCCTTGCACTTGATCACCTTAGAGAAAGAAAAGCAAGATCTTAATGTTATTTGTTTCAGTCTTTTAAAAAAGACTATGAAACCTTACCTATTTATGTCCTTACCTTACCCTCAGTTTCCATGCTAACCACACACTTTTAATACAATGAATCGTTTCCAATGTTGTCTATAAACTGCCTCCTAAAAGGACATGAACAACAATTAAAAAAAAAAAAGAAAATGCTGAAACTTGTTAAAGTTTTTTTTTCCTCCATAAATTGAACAGGTTGGAAAATGGTTTGTTTCAAAATGTTTCCAAAATATATGATAGTTCTTCTGGCATTGCATTAACACATGATGTATGTAACGCTGTTTTTTTATTGTCACATACAAATAACATATTGTGGTTTTTAAATATGATAATTTCATGGCTAATTATAAATATACATGCATTCTTGCAATATTTTAAATATTTGTGAGGGCATAATTTACTGTTAGTACCATCCCACTTTAGCTTAACATGTTAAATGAAAGGGGACAGTAGCTTTCATGTAAAGTGGGTCACTTTAAAGCTATTCTGATGGATTATCATCATTAATAAACTGTTATGAAACATATCAGACATTAGTTAAAGCCTTGATTCCACTAATATTTGTATCTGTGCACATAGGCATGACATTGCATATATGGTATCATATGTGTTACTCACCCCTGAGTGGTGTAGCAATAAGGAAGTATGCAAGTGCACTATATCATGTTACATTCATTCAAGTTTACATTACGAAGCATGCAACACTTTTCATAGTAGAATGCTAATGTTTCAAATGCAATTTTTTGTAAACGGTACACATTTCTTAAACATTAAATCTACAGGTACAAATCATTGCGTAATATTCATGCTAACACTATACTAATGAATTTTCAAATTAATTTACATTTAGGGGATTGTGACGTCCCTCAAAGCTAAAATGTAGTTTTGACTAGTTCACAGTATTTAGAATGCATTCAGTAAAACAGATGACTTCATGCACAGATTTACAGTTTGCAAATGTTTGTATGCTATTAATAACTTACACGCAGAGCTGGTTTTGTCAGGGCTCAGGAGAGGACCTGCTGGTACTAGTGCACTTTGTACTAGTTCACAGCTGCTATATGATAATTCAAAACGTGTTACTGGCTGATTGACCAATACAGCAGCTGAACAAAGTCCTGCTTGCATGTGATTGGGTGACCCGCAGATAACTACAGTATGGGTCAACCTTCCTCTTCCCAATGGCGGCAAAAGCAAAACAAGTTTGGTCATGATCAGCATATATTGAAGACCCATGGAAATTTGCAACACTTAACTGAAGGTAATTCAATGACTGTAAGCCTAAAAGAAATAATAAAAGTTAGACCGGCGAAATTTTACACTGTTGGTCTCAAGGCACACAGAAGGGAGAGATACACTTGCTGTACAGTGTACATTGAGAGAAAAGAAATTGAGTAAATAAGGATGTCCTGCAGTGCAAGCTTGCCATCTGCTGCTAATAGAGAAGAGATACAACCAAATCAAATTCAACAAACTTGGCTTTATTGTGTGGAACAGTTTCTGATCATAACAGACATGGTCTTTGTATTCTCCTTGAGACACAGTGAATGTGACTTCTCCTTTCCTTCGGCACCTTTAATTCGCTGTGCCTGTGTACTTTAGCCAATACATACAGGCAGTGAAAAGGGACCTTTGGATTAGTAGACAGATAATCATTGTCTTTTTCTTTGTAAATCTTGCAAAACAGTCTTTTATACTAGTCTGCAAAGTACATAATGACATTGTGAGGCTTTAGAGTTAGAGGAACCCATCAAAATACTTGAGTTGTTTGAAGGATATTGAGCATCATCTCCATTTCACATCTCAATCACTGACCGGATACTAAGAAAGAGAGAAACAAATGAACAAATTACATACGTTTTTTGCAAATTGTTCATGCCTAGACTTTTTATTGTGGGATTTGAAACTATAAACAGAGAGAGAGAGTTTGCCCTATGTATTTTATAAATGTATTCATTCATGCATTCATTCATGCATGATCATTTAGTTCTCTTAAACCCCGCCCCTCCACAATAAATTTTTTTTCAATAATCTGTTACACACAATACAGAAGAAAAGATCTGTCACTACTTCAGTTTCATCATAATTTAATATAATATTGCAATACCATATGAACATGCCCGTAGCCGGCTATGAGGTCACCGAGGTCCAGACCTCTGTACATTTTTCATGTTCAAAAATTAAATTTGTTCTCTGAATGACTAATTTTCTGTTTAACACTCCACATATGAGTGTCTGCATGTATAATTTCAGTTTATTTTTTATTTATTTCTCGCTTTTTATTTGTTTTAATAACAATATCTGGCAACACTGCATCGTTGGCACTTAAACTGACAGTAATCAAAAAAGCCCACGGATAGGTTATTGTTGACAGGATTCACATTCGGTAAGGCAAATGCAAAAAATATCATGATACTATCTGTCAGAAACGTTACCAAACGTTATCAACGTTATCAAAAACAGTTATCATATACAAAGTTATCATCTATATAGCAATGGCAAACTATAATAGTAATATGTAGCTATTGTTGCATGACTAATAAACAACTGATAAAATTATCCACCCTATAGTAAAGTATTAATCAATTTTGATGCAATAAATATGGTATAATTTAACAATGTTCATCCCTCCAAAACAGAGAAAACATTTTTCACATACCTGTCTCTTTTAAAGTGTTAAGTGTATATAAAGTTGTGTTTGTAGAGGTAATTAGCCTATAGCACAATTCTTAACCCCACCCAAGACCCAATTTTCAAACCCTGGCTACGGCCATGCATATGAACTGTGAGAGCTATTCTAAAGATGAATGAATTTTTATATAATATATTAACATTTGATTATGCTGAACATTACAGAATATGACAAGATTATTTAGCATATAAGATAGGCAACATTTTCTTGTGTTTTTCATCATAAAACAAATCAATAATTGTGTTCATTAATAGATGCAAAAAACTGACCTTTTCCCAGTGATCATGTGATTAAAGGCCTGGTTAACCTGATCTAGAGTCAGTCTGTGTGTCACAAATTCATCCAGCAGAAGCTTCCCGCTCATATAGTCTTGAACAAGTTTGGGCACCGCCTCAACACTCTTCCAACCTGTCAATCAGAAAAACAACAGGTTAATTACTGAAAAATTATTAATTTTGCGCATTTACCATCCAAACAGCTCACACTACACTAAATACATGGAAAGCATTTACCTCCAAAATAAGTGCCTTTCAGAGTTCTTCCTAGTAGGATATCCAGGGGGGCCAGAGAAAGTTCCTCCACCTCAATCCAACCCACAATCACACAGATTCCCCCTGCAGGACTGCACGCTTCCACAGCAGCCCTCTGGTCAGAGGAAATTGTATTAGTTCAATTAACCTCAGGGCACATACAGTAAATGACTTTCTTCTACATGGCAACTTGACTTGCTTATATAAACGACACTGAAGAACATCTTTGAAAATTACAGCTCTACTAATAAACTTACAGTTAATTAAACAATAATACACACTGGTTATAGGAACTTACCATTACTCCCACATTCCCCACACACTCAAGACAGAAGTCAACGCCACCATTACTCTGCTCCCTCAGCACCTCCTGAATGGGTTTACTGTGGTCTTTAGGGTTCACAAACTCAGTTGCTCCAAAAGTCTTGGCGATCTCAGACTTGTCTGGATTGATGTCAACAGCGATGATCCTGGAAGCACCAGCAGCCTTGCATCCCATGACAGCTGCCAGTCCAACAGCTCCCAAACCAAACACCGCACATGTAGAGCCAGATTCTACCTGGGGAAGACAATGACAAAAAAATATAACACGTGCTACAAGCTGGTGGGATGTTATTTTTATCTTATGGAAGTGGAAATCACACACACTTTGCCTGTGTTCACTGCTGCTCCATATCCTGTAGACACTCCACAGCCCAGCAGACAGACTTTGTCCAGTGGAGCATCTGGGTGAATCTTGGTGACATTGTCCTCTGGCACAACAGTGTATTCAGAGAATGTGCTGACACCAATAAACTGGTAAATCTGCTGATTCTTGCAGGTGATCCTGCTGGTGCCATCTGCAAGAACACCCTGTTGAGTTTTGTCCCTGGGAGGAAGAGAAAAATACAGTTAACATCTATTCAAAAGCAGATGAAAAAAATACATAGTATTTACTATAAATAAACAGTGTATTATAATTATTATTATAACCAGTCTTTGGTGCAGAGGTTTGTCTTTGGACTCAGGCAGCGTTCACACTGTCCACACTGTGGCAGGAACAGAGGAATGACTTTATCTCCTGCAGATATATAAAAATTACGTGCTCTGAAATAATGCATGTCACATGCCTACACACTTCTACATTCATGTATCTAGGGCAAAGTGATTAAGATGAAGCAATTGAGAAATCAGGGCCCGTATGTATAAAACTTCTCAGAAATGCTCTTAAGAATAGTCTTAAGCTTTGACTTAAGTGTCAAAAAATTCTTAGTAAAAAGTAGGACTTTTCTAAGAGTAGGAGACTTTTATCAAGCTAAAAGCAACTTTCAGTAGTCTAAGTCTAAGACTGATTCTTAAGTGTTGACTGAGGTGACACTTAAGTGTTGTGAACTAAGGACTACAATGATGTCAACACAAAATGACCTACCTCAACCCCTGAATCAGCCAATAGTGAGCCTGCTCATGTAAAGTCACAGCAGCACAACACCAATCATTTAATGTAACTACAATAAAATCATTTAATTAAGACACTGAAATATTTTAATATCTAAATGTTTTTTTTTTTTTTAATGCTTTGCATTGTGCATTTTCTATTGGTTTTCTATTGGTATGTCTCCTCGTTTACAGTTGGAGCAATGATGTGAACATGAGTTCAATCAGTGGCTCCAACAACTCCATGAAAGCCCACAATCCTCATAAAAGTGGCTTGTTTTTGCAATATGGTTTTAGGAACCTTTATGAATCACTCTTATTCTTAAGTCTAGGAATAAGAGTAAAATTACGTCATTCTTAGAATTTTGACACACTTAGGACTAAAATTTTACTCTGAGTGGCTTTATACATACGGCCCCAGAACTTACATTTAGAAACATTTCATATCTAGTTAGAAGTAAGAATATTAAAAGTGTTTATGATGGATTTTTGGTTTACCTTTAGATACCTTTGTGACACCTGGACCAACACTCTCCACAATCCCAGCCCCTTCATGTCCCAGGATCAAAGGAAAAGGCCGTGGCTTCATTTTAGCAACATCATACAGGTAAGCCCAATCTGAGTGGCATACTCCAGATGCTACTATCTAAAAAGAGTTGATGAAAAGACACTTCTTAGTGAAATAAAATAATACGTGGTTCTTTGAAAGCACAATAAAAAAGAAACATTTAAATACAAATATTTAAATATAATTTTTAAAATAATGGTCAATTTAAAAGCATACAGTTCATAGCAAGAAATATGGTTATTCTCGGGCCTATTTTTAAGTTGTGTTTTAAGTTTAGGTTTACATTTATACTACATCTAGCCTAACACGATAAATGTAGTGTTATGGATCTACCTTAATTCGTACTTCATGTGCTTTGGGAGGGGCAACCTCCACCTCCTCAATGGAGAGTGCTTTTCCTGGTTCCCAGGCCACTGCTGCCTTGCACTCGATCACCTTAGGAATAAAATTATTATGCACTACCATTCAAGCCTTTTTTTTAAATGACAGATAAGACTTTTATAATGTTACGAAAGATTTCTATTTAATGCTGTTATTTCTATTTATCAAATAATCCTGAAATGCATCACGGTTTCCTCAATCTATATTATGCAGCACAACAGTTCCGTTTTGAACATTTAAAATAATAAGAAATATTTATTAAGCACCAAATCAACACATTAGAAGGATTTCTTAAGGATCATGCTGTTGTTTTAAATTGTAATATTATTATTTTGTATTATTATTTTTTTTTTTACTGTGTTTTTGTCAAATAAATCTAATAAATGCAGCGTTGGTGAGCTTTAGGGACTGTTTTAATTTGCTACAACAATACATTAATTCCCTGTTATGTCCTTACCTTACCCTCAGTTTCCATGGCAACGACACACTTTTGATACAGTGACTGTGGTCTTTCGTCTGCTATAGACAACGTTGCAGAGATAGAACATTTATGCCAGTTAAAATGCTGAAACAAAAGCAGAAATAGTCTGATGATTATACAAAAAAGGTTATTCATGTCAAGAATTTTTCACTGCCTACTAATTCCAGTAGCTACTCTTGTCAGTCTACTGTGCTATTAATCTCTTACTTCACATTTCAACATTTTACCATTCAAAAGGACGTTAAATACAGGAAATACATAGTATTATTACTCTTAACTCACTCAGTGATTAATGTTGGTTGGGGTTAGGCTAAAGAGCAGTGTTGTTGGTACCTCTTTTCTGCATTGCATGTGATTGGCTAACCGGCCTCCTTCTGCGCAAGGCTGGCGGAATCAAAACAAGCTGGAATGCAATCTCCATCTAGTGGAGCTGTTTGGAAACTGCGTTCAATTTCAAGCAAAAACTCACCCCAAAATTGTATTTATGCTTTTTATACCCTCAGTTACAAACCCGTATGACTTTCTTCTCTAGACACAAAAGGAGAGTTAAGTCACCATTCCCTTTTTTTTTTGTATGAACTCTAATGACAGTAAATGGTGACTGAGGCTCCTTTAAAGAAAAATAAGTACCTCCTCACAACACCCTGATTGGTTAGTCGGGCAGGATAGTGGGGCCAATTAATGACACCTGGTTTACAACAAACCACTTCACTGCATTCATGCATTGCCACAATGACAAATGTAGTGCTTATCCCCTGAGTAAAGGGCAAAATAGGACACCGATGGCTTTACTAGCTGTAATTGTGCTTTTTGTTGTAAGATGCTGTAGCACATTGTCAGCTGAAGGTATATTAAATGTTAAATATTAAAAACAAAGTAAAATATTTTGATTGATCTATTGTTGACTGACATTATGCTGCTGTGTCACCTCTGGGTGTGTGGGCTTGGCAATTGCTGTGCTTAGAAAATAATCAGTCGCTCTATTGCAGACAGTTATTATGCTTTTTTGAAACATACATGCAACAAGTGGGTGGTCAACCTTCAGTTTTGTTTTATACCTAGAGCCTTTGTCCTCTAATGAAGCCAGTAGTACAGACACCACTTATGGCTTTGTGGCCTGTGTGATTGCAGTGCTGTTTTATGGAAGTTATTTCGTTCCTGTTAAAACAGTTGATACCGGTGATGGTGAGTTTAACTTTTATGCTTCAAGCCAACATTTGAATGACCTTGTGCTAAAATCTGTTGTCTCTACAGGAATGTTTTTTCAGTGGATTTGCTGTTCAGCTATATGGTTTGTTGGACTGGTTACGGACACATTGTTTCGCCCCTCCAGAGCCCATCCTGCTGCTATGCTTGGAGGAGCACTTTGGGCCACTGGTAAATCATATGTGTGAGTGAATAAACCTGTGTTTAATATATACCGATGTTATTTGTAACCGATTTACCTCTCAGGAAATATAACAGCAGTCCCAGTTGTGAAGTTTATTGGCCTTGGACTTGGAATTTTGCTTTGGGGATCCAGTGGATTGCTAATTGGATGGGCAAGCTCAAGGTAAGCCGGACTGATGTTTGACAGAAGGGGCTTAAACTAGGGATTAATTGAATTTCCTGATGTAAAACTTTGGATCATGGATTTCCATGCTGGCCCAGGCTAGTTTATGCCATTTGAGTTGGTTAAGCAGTCCATTGGTGACATAAGCAAATACTGAGAACATTTGCTGAGAAAATACTGAGAACAATTTCTTGATGCAGCTTAAATCATTGCAAAATATGCAATGTTAAGCAATTTATGTAAGATGACAGATCATTGTGATTTTTTTATATATATATATATATATATATATTATTTGTGCTTCTTTTTAACTTTAGCTCATCTGTAATCAAGTAACCGGTTCTGTGATCTGAATGTTTATTTGCATGCCTTTTTGAAATTTAGAGTCTTACTTTTTCTCAGTAGTATGATGTTGCACTGGTTTAGTGCACGTTTTAAAAATATTATTTTAAGCTGTAACACTTTAGATTGAGGTTCCATTTGTTAACGCTAGTTAACTACTTTTGTTAACACGGACTAACAAAAAAAAAGTGCTTCTAAAGTATTTATTAATCTTAATGCAAATTCCAACATTTACTAATGCATGATTAAAAATCAAAAGTTATAAATGTTAATATTTGTTATTATTGGACCTGAGCTAACATAAACTAGCAATAAACAGTTGTATTGTTATTAACTTTAACAAAGATTAATAATGTAACTGCTCATTGTTGGTTAATATCATGGGACCTTATTGTAAAGTGTTATCCATAGTTTTAATTAAAGGCAGAGGTGAATTTACCTCTTAATTCATTCCTTTCAAGGTTTGGCTGGTTTGGTCTGAATCCAGAGGAAGTATCCAAACCAATACACAATTATTGTGGAGCTGGCCTTTGTCTGCTAAGGTAATGAGAGAGCAGGCAATGTGATATCCTTAAGCATTAGTTGTGTGCATAGTATTTGAAGGCAGACCATTAAGAGGATATTTCTTTGGTTAATGATGGCTGAAATTTTACAAAGTAATTGCGTGTTCTCAAAAGGATGGCCAAAACCCACGGCCATGGAAAGGAAATGCTGCAGGCACACTGATTTAATATGGTTAGACAATATTTCCATCCCGAAAATTTTTCTAGTTCACTTAGGAGTTACACCTCACAAAGATCCTTTTGAGATCAAAGAGCTGCTGTCTTTACTCGCCTAAAAGTTTCTCTGAAATTGAAAATGTAATATACTATGTAAGGCAGGATAAATCTCCTCCTAAGACCTGAAGTCACTTTGCATTGGATCCACAGTTCCATCTGATTTTATGGGATATGGAATAAAAACATCCTTACCTTTTATTTATTGTGAGAGAGAACCCTGTGGTACAGTTTTTATGTAACACAATCATGTCTTTGTTTCAGTGCCATCATATTCTTTTTTGTGAAAAGTGATGTTCAGAAACGCACATCTGCCGAATCCATGCCTTTGTTGATTGATGATAGGGTAGGTTTGTTAAGGCTTTTCCTCATAAAGAGCTATTATGATTGTTTACGCAGAATATTGTTTTGTGTATTATGTCTTCGATACACAAATCTTTGCTGAGATTTTGTGCGTACGTGCATTCACACATCGTCTTCAGAGGTTGAATCCAGACAGCACAAGCCCCAGTGATTCATGGGTGGACACAATTTCACCAAAGAGCAAGAGAGTGTTGTAAGTATTTGTAGGCCCTCCAAGTTCCTTTTTTTTTTTTCTTTGCTTGCAGTTTTCCTCATATTTCCAGTCCATCAACACTGTACTGGAAAGTCTGAGTTTGATGGCTTCTGTGCTAAAATATTCTTGCACTTTTTTTTTGTTTAATCAATGCATTTTTTATATTACAGTTTTGAATTTACATCTATGGTATTTTCAGCTTTAGATTCTAGTATTGTAATATATCTGGATGATAAAGATCAAATCTATGGATTTTCATGATATCCTCTTGTTACAGTGGCTGCATCTTGGCCGTATTTTCAGGTGTCCTTTATGGTTCTTCTTTTGTGCCTGTTTTCTATATTAAAGTCCATGCCACAACCAATTCAAGTATGTTCACTGGATCCAGTCAGAATGGTATGTGTATTAGTTAAATTAAAAGTGACATGCAGTTGTACTACAGCTTAATGGGATGTGTTAAAAAAACAGTTAATGGGCTATTTTTTTTGCTGTCCATTACAGAAATTGACTACTGCTTTGCCCATTACAGTGGAATTTTCCTCACGAGCACAGTGTATTTTCTTGCTTATTGTGCAGTCATGAAGAACAGGCCTCGGATTTATCCCAGAGCCATCTTACCTGGTAATTAATGTGCTTTCTATTGCATCGTCTTTATTTAAACTTAGATGAAAGGACCATGTTGCCTTGTAACATCATCACAGTTGTGACTATATATATATTTTTACATGTACAGTGTACATTCAGGCTCTGAACACAATACATTTGTGATACAAAATATTCCTCCAGAGATTCTATCACCTTTCTGCTGAATATTGAGTTCCTGTGTTCAAGTAAGCTCTTCCGTGCAGGTTTTTTGAGTGGCCTGATGTGGGGATTAGCCACATATGCCTGGCTTATGGCAAATTACTACCTTAGTGCAGTGATCACATTCCCTATAATTAATGCAGTAAGTATCATGAAAAAAATCTTTCATGTCCTCATTCACCTTGCATTGCAAATTGTATGTAATGATAGTGTGTTCTACTTTGCTTTCAGGGTTATGGCTTAGTAGCTGCTCTGTGGGGAAGTGTGGTATTTAAAGAGGTCAAAGTAGGTAACATAAAGCTATTTGTATTAATTCAGTGTTTTGGATGGCATTTTGATATGATCTAGCTTGACACTTTTTCAAATGAACTTGAGTATTTATGTGTTGATTTAACTTCAGAGAACACAATTATTGAAATGGCTATTGTTTTTACATTTACATTTAGTCATTTAGCAGATGCTTTTATCCAAAGTGACTTACAAATCAGGACAATGGAAGCAATCAAAATAAATAAAACCGCAATGATATGCAAGTGCTAGAAATCTCAGTTAGCTTAAGGCAGTACACGTAGCAAGTTTTTTTTTTAATTATATAATAAAAAGAAAACCGATAGAATAGAAAAAGAATAGAGCAAGCTAGTGTTAGAGGCCTTGTTTGCTTTTAATTGTATAATAAATAAAAAGAAAACAAATAGAATACAAAAAGATTAGAAAATCTAGTTAGTTTTTTTTTTTTTAAAGAAAATAAGCAGTTAGTAAATTAATAGAGTGCAAGTCTAAAAGGGACAAAAAAATAAAAGAATAGAATTAGAATAGAGAGTGCTAGAGTTAGAGGGTCAAATAAAAATGGAAGATATGTGTTTTTAGCTGATTTTTGAAGATGGCTAAGGACTCAGCTGCTTGAATTGAGTTGGGCAGGTCATTCCACCAGGAGGGAACATTTAATTTAAAAGTCTGTGAAAGTGATTTTGTGCCTCTTTGGGATGGCACAATAAAGCGATTTTTTTATTTTTTTTAATATTGATTAATTACTCGTAATAATAAAGGAATTAAGTGGAGTCAACTTCTGTTTAGGCTTTCCTAACAAACTGATTTTATTTCCTCAGGGACTTGGGAACTTGCTGCTGTTTGCTTTGGCTTCTTGTGTTGTTCTGGCTGGCTCCCTGTTAACTGCCTATTCAAAGATTTGAGTCTGTACGTTATGTTACCACAAGGTGGCAACGGTGGATCAAGTTTTAAGCCAAACTTGCATAAGGCCTCTGCAGTTGCTTAGTAGCCCTTGATGTGATTTGCACTTTCTTGCTCTAGCATTTTAATTGCTATCAAAATTAATTCAAGGTTTTGTGTAAGTTCGCACATATTTGAATTAAACGGTTTCCCCTTTCTGGCTATAGGCTATGTATATAGCTTTGTGTTTATATTTGTTGTATTTTCTCAACTGAGTCTGAAGCTTTTCATCAGGGTCCAAGAATTTTTTTTTTGACCACTTAATTTTCATGACATTTTATCTCTCCAATAAGACTCTCTGAAGACAGACTGACAAAGGTTGGACAAGCGCTTATGAAGATATGTGTATATAATCTAGAGTACAGTCTAAAGTGCTACAGTTTAAAACAATGCATTCCTGATGTACATAAATTACATAGTCTGCACTGTTGTTCCTGTATCCTGTTCTCTTTACTGGAGCCCATCATTATTACATGTTATTGCTTCACTGATTGACACCAGTAAATTCAAGTACAGAACATGTCAAAACAACATTGTTTACAAGCAGGTGTGCACAAGCAACTTCTTCCTGGCGGAATATGCTATTGTAATTCATTTTTAAGGTCTTCCTGACAGACCTGGTTAATGAGCTTTCCTGTTTTGTATTTTAGTATTGTTGTTGTAAAAATAGAGAATAAAATAAATCAGCCCAAGATGGTTTGCTGAATTAAGAGGGTCTCCCAGCTGGACCAAGCTAGTGGTCAGAAGGTTTTGTTGGTCAGAAGTGCCTTAAACCCTTCTGAAACTTGTGTTTTCCAGCAAGAGTGGATAAGCGCTCCCTCACTAAGAAAATAAAAATACATAACATAAACCAGCCTTATTTGGTTTGCTGGTCCCCCAAACCACACTAAAACCAGCAAACACACCAGCTTGTACTGTTTTAGATGGATATTTCTCAGCAGGGTCAGCAAAGAAATGTACACAGAAATATATACATTATATGGAAAATGTGACTAGTGTAGTTTGTAATGACAGCGTTCTAGTCTCTTGCGCTTGCAGATGGGGCGTAAGGACAAGCGACATTCTTGTTAGTTTGGGACTGTTATCTCAGCTGATCCGGCATCGGGACAGTTGTCTCATTCATGCTGGAGCGGTTGCGCTGAGCGGACCATCTGGAGCTCCTGTCTACCATCAATATGTAAACGAAACGAAACGAACGCTATTCCAACGTGGATAAAAGAAAATCGACTTAATCATGCGCAGACACTCGTACCAATGGATACGTATTCGACTCGTCCTGGAAATGTCTGGGACTCTTTGATTTATTTGTCAGTTTCGTTTTTGAAAGTCTGCAACTGTTGGAAATATTCTGCCGTTCGGAAGTATTTGATTATAGCAGTAGTGTGTTTTGTTTATTTGTTTTTCACCGTTCGTGTTAGTCGCACGACTACTCGCCAGGACAAACGTCCTGATCTGTGGACTGGAAATAGCGTTTATTCTCAGAGTAAAAATGTCCAGGACCCCGCTGATGGGGAGGTGAATGAGTCTGTGAGCCCGACCAGGTCTAATGTGGTGTATATAACACTCAAATCTAAGCGGCACAAACCGGCTATCATCAGGGGCACAGTGCGACCCAAACTCCGGAGAAAGAAAGTTAAAGTGAGGCAGCAGGGTGGCACACAGGGCAAGGCGAAGGATGCGGGGCACAATACAAACACCGTTAACAAACGACTGGGATATTCTGAGCTTGATGGCAGTGACACTGGTTATTCAACTATAAGGATATACAGTGAAAGAGCTCCTCCATGGTTCAGCAACGATGACATTACTGCCATGCGCTTTCTAGCCGATTGTAAAATTACGCAAATTGATGAAGTGGCACCTCGGGGCTTCTCTTCTTTAATTTTATTTAAAAGTGCGACAAATGGCACGGACGATGTTGATGAGTGTCGTAAATGTTGCGGTATTGTCAAGCGACCCTTGGACATGAGTGAGGTGTTCGCCTTTCACCTGGACAGGATCTTGGGACTGAACAGAACTTTGCCAGCTGTCAGCAGACGATTCCACTCTCTTGGAGGTAGTGTTCACTGTAAAACCTGTTTTTCCGAAGTTGTAAATAAAACAACGATTACTAGTGTGCGTATTACAAGAAAATACTATTTTAGCCTTTCTACTTCAAAAATTGCACGTTTAATTAAATGTTACTTCCCAGTTCTTTGCAATTTACTAGCAAATTTTGAGTGAAAATTGTTTTTTCCCCATTTTAGTCTTTTTCCCCTTTGTATTTAAATAAACCTAAAACTTTTTTAAATTTATTTTTGTCACTGTTTATATATTTTATATTGTATTTTATTTATATTTATTTGATGTTTTATTGTATTTATTTAATAATTTTAGTAGCAGACACTGCATTTTATTTCATTTTGGATTAAGTTAGTAAATAATATAGGCCCGGTTTCACAGATGGGGCTTAGTTTAAGCCAGGACTAGGCCATAGTTCAATTAGGATTTTAAATAAATTTTTATAAACATGCTTTAGAAAAAACATTACTGGTGTGCATCTTGAGACAAAACAAGGGCACTGACATATTTCAAGATCAATCAGTGCAAGTTTCTTTCAGTTGAAACAGCTCAGATTTACATTTTAGTTGGGGACTAAGTTTAAGCCTTGTCTGTGAAACCGGGGGAATGTGTACCAAAAAAGTATTTGGAAACTTAGCCTACATTAAAGGTTTCACAGACAGGGCTTAAACTAAGCAAGGATTAGGCCATAGTTCAATTAGGACATTTGAGTAATTTTTATTAACATGCCTTAGAAAAAACATTACTGGTGTGCATCTTAAGACAAAACAAAGGCATTGATATATTATAAGATCAGTCAATGCAATTATCTTTCAGTTGAAACGGCTCAGAATTACATTTTAGTATTGTCTGTAAAACGGAGGGAAAATGTATAATAACATTAGATTAAAAATACATACAAAAATTTTTTTTAGCATATTTTGATTTAAAGTCATTGTAAAATAGCTAAAAAAAAGTGTAGTTACCTCTGAGAAAAGTCTGAGGAAAGCTTTATTAATTTGTCATATAATGAACTGCAATGAAATTTGTGTGGATTTTACAGACTGGGGTTTTTGTAATTGGGAGCCTTTTCAGTGTAACCAAAAGCTGTCATGATCTATTGACAAAGCAAGTATGACTGATGCTGACTTATTAATCTTGTTTCAGATGGTCAGCCTTGTCCAGTGGTTTTGTGGGACCCCTCTTTAAGCCCAGAAGTAGATCAACCTTCTGAAAAGTTGAACTGGGGCTCATATCAAACCTCTCTCAAACACAGGTGCTGGCATCGGGGCGTCATACCTAAACCAGAGTGGAGCTGCACCAGCATCCACCACCACGAATGGAGCAAGATGGTAGTCTTTGATTTCCTCCTGCAGGTACTCCACTTTTATCAGTGTCTTTCTGCGTTGCAACTTTGTTGATACGCAACATTTGTTCAGAAAAACAACTGAAACATTTTATTTTACCTTAAATCCTTAAAGCAAAAAGACTGTTTCTTCTCAGATTTATGAACGCCTAGATAAAAACTGCTGTGGATTCAAGCCTCGCCCAGAGGACACCTGTGTTGAGCTTGGTCACCATGAAGAATGTAGAGACAAGGACAGCATAGAGCTGAGACACATAGTCCACCGTAAACATGACCCACACCACCTGGTTTTCTTCAACAACAAGGGCTACTTTGACCGAGACGAGGGGAATCTGAACTTCAGGCTACTAGAGGGAATCAAAGAGTGAGTAAGAGTTACAGATCAAATATGACCACTAGATTTTTCATTTGTATCTCATAATAACATTGTCAAAAATCACAGAGATTTTGCAGAGATACTGCGCAAATGTTCTTTTTAAAAACATATCATTCACACATACCTGTATTCAATTTCAATTAAAATGCCTTGCCAAAGATTTAATTCATTGAAATTTCAAACTTATTTCCTCAAATAAATGAATCCTTACAGTTTATTTGATTAAATTACAAGTCACCACAGGTTATCAGGTTTACATAGACATTATTACGGTTTTAAATCAAATATATTTTGGGCGTCTTCTGTTCTCATCCTTACCGGACAATCTGAGGTGGTTTGTAATTGCTGTAACTAAGACTGCAACTGAATTCATTTCGGTGAGGCCACAAGTTTGGGCTTTCAGTAAGCCAACACCTCCACAACAGCACTGAATACGTAAGCAAATACATATGCCAACAATCTGACACGTGCTGTCTGAGCTAAGGGATTCTGCTGGCAATGCTGCTAATGTGATATCTCTGGGAACGCAAGCTCACTTGTGCAATAACATAAATCAAAAGAAATGATGGGCCATTGCTGTGTTTGAGTATCACTGCTTGCACGTTATCTGCATTACAGCTGGGTATTACATAATAGGCTAGTTAGCAGTACAGTTTAGTTTGAGGGGATTGTGAAAATGGTATAATGATTTTTTTTTTTTTTTTAATGTAGATAACTTAGTTTGTTTTAATAATTTTGGAGTGCATTACCATATTCCTTTAATATTTTTTTCCCCTTTCAGACTACCAGATCAGTCTGTGTCAGTGTTGAGGTCTCAGCGTCTCAGGGAAAAGCTCCTGCAATCGCTGTTTCTCGACCAGCAGTACTGGGACAGTCAGGGTGGCCGTCAAGGCATTGAAAAACTCATTGACGTAATTGAGAGAAGAGCCAAAGTCTTGCTCACGTACATTAATGCTCATGGGATTAAAGTAGTACCTATGAACTCTTGACAGAGGGGAGCTTCAGCTTTCAATGTGTAAGACAAACCACCAACCTTTTGGTTTCCAATGATCGTTGATGTTTTCGACAGATTAGTATATGCCAATGAAGACCTGCTGAATTAAAGCTCTTTCAGTCCAAATTCTATGCACTACAGAAATTAAGAGCACTTTGTGGTGTTGTAAGTGCTGCTCCCATTTAAGAGGAGAATAAATTATAGTTACTGGGCTAATTGTTGGCACCACTGACATTCCACAAGTTAAAGGCACTGTAAGTGATATGATGTTTCGTTAACTTCTACTAGCCTTAGCTTCTGAATTCAACTGCCTCTGCCTCTTCTGTCCAAAATCCCGCCCACTAATGACATGTCAGCAAACTTGATGTAAGCAATCTGAATGCTCAAACTGAGTGTTTTGTTTAGCTGCACATCGATGTCCCACAGCTAGTCTGTTTTGGTGTTTACAGAGCTGTAATGTTGTCACAGAGAGCAGTGCAATTTCTCAGGACACCTGTTTTAGTTATGTCAAAGAGTGAGTGCTATTCCATAAACAATACCAAAGCACTTTTAATTCCAATGTTATAATCAATGCATGCTTCGCTCAATATGTAGTTTCAGTCAGTTATTAATTTCAATCTGCAATTCAGCTTTATAAGAACATTTCTGCTATAATCTGCACGTTTTTTCTGCTGTGATGATGGTGTTCATGATGAATGTTCCAGCATAATTGTTAAATCTATTAATGTTGCACTTGTATTGATCACTGTGAAGATGATATGAATCTTCTTTCATACGAATGGCTGTATTCATTGTGCTCTCTGAAGTGTTTATTTTTGTACTGTTGTTTGCGCTTGTAAAAAAATATACATATATAGAATAAAAGTGTTACATATCAGTTCATCGCAAAATCATTTCAATATTACATGAATTTTTAGCACCACTGTTTGTCAATTTTGAAAAAATCTTATAATCTTTGAAATGGTTTGAAAAGTACTTTATACCATGGTCTGTCTGAACACTCGATTCTGATTGGCTGGCAGATGCAGGAATGCATTAAAACTGTTTAATGCACAGGTAGTTCCAAGTCAGTTTAATCACCATTGTATATTAATCGGCTTCGCGTTGGGTGGTACTTGGCTTCCACGTCATGCATTAAAATCTTTTAATGT